GAATTTAAAGACACTATCATTTCACCCAAGCCACAATCACTTCATCTTATCGTTGAATGTACGTAGGTGGATTTATTGCAACTTTTCTAGTTCATACCTTGAAAAATTTTGCAAATAAAAATCATAAACTCAACTATTACCTAGTAGCTACACCAATAACAAAGCTTCTACCTTCTATTTAATACCTCAAGGTCACGCCCTCGAACTTAATATAAATGGAGCAAGCGACGACATTAAACTACATTTGTATAACGAAATAATAAATAAACAATATACTGAGCAGTGAACATAATTATGACTTCGTGAAGGGAGTTGTTCACGCGACAATTTGGTTGACCTTTGATCCTTATCGATCGAGCACGTTCAAGTTGGTTTTCGAAATCAGGGTGATGAGGAACAGTTTATATATACCAGTATTGGAGCTGCTGGAAGGAAAATTTTATAATTATTAAATGGTAAATTATTAACATTAACAATTCTTTGAAAATTGGTAGTACTAGTAGTATACATAACTTTTTGTGATATAAGTCCATTGTGGCATAAATAATGTTTCTTACAAGATATCATTAAATGCTACTTTTTTATATAGTACATATATTTGATGGGCTAACGTATAACCACTATCTCGCCTAGTGGTAAGCGATCTACGATGAAGCACGTCGACCCATAAGCAACCTATTTACTCGGGCCTTAAAGATTCCATGTCATTTTTATTCCATAGACTTATTTCGAAACGACCTAATTCATTTGATTTATTTTGCACACATAAATACCATTCTTTATAGATTCATAATTAAATAATCATTCACAAATTATTTTAAAATATTAAATGCAATTAATGTATTTGTATCAATATTAGTTTTCTGACTATATAACCTATTTATTTCAAAATATTACTATGGATATTGTATTTCTAATTAGTTATATCATTTGTCAGTAAAATATGTTGAAATTAAATGAGAACGTATTTATTAATTAAACTTTAATTATAGTAATCCGGTATCATCGAGGCATTTGTTGAAACAAATATTAAATTTAATCGCTCAATTATTAAACTTAATTAGCTTCCTGATATGTAGTTAATTTTAATTTGATTAAAAAGCTAAAATTATCGTACAATTGGTATTAAGTATTAAAATTAGTAGACTGCCTCGTTGGCCGAGCGGACGCAAATGCGACTGCCGGGCAAAGGGTCTCGGATTCGATTCCCGAGTCGGGCAAAGTATTACTGGGTTTAAAAAAATCTAAGTAGTAGCACAGAGTCTGGAAATATGTATGTCCGGTATATGGCAATAGGCTCACCCCCTATTTCATGAGACTCATAACATAAATAGTAAAAAGTGGGTATTACATTGCACAATGACATTAAGTGCCGAAATGTGCACCTCTCCTCATTTCGCCTGATGGTATATGATGATGCGGCCTACGATGGAACACGTCGACACATAAGCAACCTTTTCACTCGGGCCTTGAAGACACTCAAGTTATACTCTTCAGGAAACACAGAGTCTGGCAAAGAATTCCCCTCCTAGGCAGTATGCACAAGGAAGCTTGATGCGAAACGCTTCATGCTCAAGACTTTGGCTGCCAATAAAAAACTGTTGAAGATAAATTCTCCGCTAACGATGGTCACTGCTGACCCCCATGACGTTTAATGTGTTAATTTAAACAAATTATTTGACTTTGTAGTTAGCTGGATGGGCACTGTTATTTATATTATTGAAGGAATATAGTTAAGCAGACGAATCACCTGATTGTCAGTTATTAGCGTCAGCCATAGTCACCCTTAACACCGAAGGAGTTCTACTTAAATGCAATTCAGACTAATATGCATAAATGACATAAAACGGTTTTAAATAAAATTTGGCTAATTTTATCCAAATAAACTTCGGAAAACCACTGGAAGGATGTAATTTTACCATAAAACCGATATTTCTCGTTTTAAAAATATTAAAACAAACAGATGGCCATTCGAACTCTTATCAGAAAATTAACGACTTGTCAGCTGTTACAGGCAACTACTGACCTAAAAGTGCTTACAGCATTGTCTTGAACACGAGTATACATAGATTGTATACGAAGCGAGATATCTGTTGTACATTAAAAGCAGCAAGTTCAGTTTGCTTCGGCCTTGAGATGAAAATTAATTTTCTTTTATAATAGTTTTTTTTTAAGGGGGGAAAATCATCGAATGACTGCTCCCGCCTGGATGAGGCGAGAGGAGTGTCAGACTCTTACTGACTAAAAACCACCCCGTTCCTTCTCCTGCGTCGAGCCGGAGCCTCGGTTACCCGTTAGGTTCTCCGCGACTATATAATAGGTTGGTTGTGTTCTTTGATGCCCTTCATTCATTTTGATGACGTCATTATATTTGAACATAAGTCGATGATGGTATTAACTAAGATAGCATCAGGTAGTATGTAGCAAACTCCCCAATCCCCGAATACCTAATGCTTATTAAGAATATCTAATCCTCAAAAGGCTGGTAACGCACTTGTAACACCTCTGGTGCTTCGTGTGTACACCTCTGGTGATCCATCTGCTCATTTAACAGCTTGTTCCATAAATACAATTGACTTATCATCCTTTTTGATGCATACAATCAAAATCAAGTGATCCATTTGCTCATTAAAAACGGCTTATTTCATAAACACAATTGACTTAACATCCTTATTGTAATTGATTTTTTGGCATGGGACTCATAACATAAATAGTGAAAAGTGGGTGTTACTTCTGTGTGCACCTCTGCCTAGCCCTACGGGGATAAAAGGCGTGATGTTGTGTATGTTATGTTGTAGTTGATATCACAGGAAATTCAGTAGACCTGAAAATATTTCCTTCAAAAATTTTACTGCAGACTGCTGTCGAGTGTCGCAGAGCATAATGTACTTAGATACATAGCTCACAAGATGTTCCCATTTTATCAAGAGACCGAATATCGACTTTTGTACTTAGCATAAATTTGCATGTCAAGATACATATTATACCACTTGTTTATGCTAAACGTGATACCCTTTAATAATATACGGTGTATCGCCAACTTGATCAAGTTTTCTGACAGATTCATTTCTGTGTATAAGCGAACGGTTTTTGAGTGATGCGATTAAAACATCTGCTTTTGAGGGCGATAACCTAATGTTAGATTGGGTGGATTTCCTATGGTCTTTGAGTATATTTATTTATTTAACATTTTATGGCACACAGCAAAAATTATTAAATTGTATTTTATTTTTCTATCTCGATGGAAATCCTCATGTACTAACTACGTCGTGAGAACGACGTGGGGGGGAGGGTCGGATTCTTACCGGCTAAAACCATCGCGGTGTTCCGTCACTGCCTGCGACCGTGATCCGGGTTGCCCTTACGAAATCACCACACCCGGCAGGCCTCGACCGGACCTAACCTACCGCTATGTTTGTGCTTCCCTACTTTGAGTAGCGCGCGTGGAACACTACGCTAACGTCCCCGGCTACATAGCGGTCTGACTCCCCCGGTCAAAGTTTACATTGTACATGTTGCAAGTATATTTATGCAGTTAATTTAAGTTAAGCATCAATTTGTTCTAAATTTAGCCATTTCATAATTTTGGAAAATAATTATTATGCTATTCATGGATTATGCTATACTACGCATAGCAATTATTTTCTAGAAAAATTCAAATATACTTTAGTAAATGAGTCGGTCGTTTGTTCAATGTGTCGTATTTGAGAGCACTTCCCTCACAAAAAACTTATCTATAATTCTATTGAAGATGTTATCAGACTTGATTGATTGCTAAAAATACTCGTTTAAATCCTAAACGTACATAAAATGATGACGTAAATACTATGTATTACTGTTCCCGCAATTCCAGGGTAGAGTTAATCCGCTCAGATATAGTGACGTCACGTAGCTCGCATCATGCCAGGGTACGCACGGACTGAATTATTGTTGGTATGGAGCTTGCTCGAGATATTGTGATGTGGTGAAAAATGATCGAATTTTCAATGGTTGTTTATTTCGAAAAATAGTGAGTTATGCACATTTAGTAGTTTTTTACATATTGTTGGACTATGTGTTCTTGGTAATTTAGTTTATTTTCGCATGATTTCTTGACAACTGTTAAAAATATGTATGTATGAGTAAATATAATAATTCATCATCAACAACCTATAAATGACCACTGCTGAGCAAAGCCTCTTCTCACATGGAGAAGGTTTGAGCATTAATCACCACGCTTGCTCAATGCGGGTTGGCGATTACAAACTTATAATTAGAAATTATAAGTACAGGTTCCCTCACGATGTTTTCCTTCACCGTTTGTCACTGGTGTCTGAATAATCTTAGAAAGTACATGTGACTCGGAAGAAGTCACATTGGTACTTGCCGTTGATAGGTTTCGAACCCGCATTTTTATGCATGAGAAGCCAACGTCTTAAACTTTATCTTTTTATATATTTACTTTTTATTACGATTCATATTTGCAGTTTCAAGCTGTATGACGGAAAAAGGTAGTAAGCAATGACAATAATCACTGCAGGTACTTAGAGCTAAGGAAGAATTAAAAAAACAAGAGTCTTGATTACAATTCTTTATTAAAAATTAATTGAAACATCCAGTCGATACAATTACGGGAACATCGATATAATGAATTCCAAATGAAACAATATTTTATTTCGCTATAAACCTGTTACCAATTCAATGCAATATTTTTATAAATATTATACATTATTTATATTTTAAATCTGGTACGATACGGATTGTAATATTATAAAATCATGTATTTTTTATACTTACTATTTTTAAATATGTAATTTTTGAGTTTAATTTATAAATATTATTATAAGTTTGCACTCAGCTGTTTTTTTAAGGAATAATGTCGAATTTGTATTTTCAGATGAACTTAATAATAAATAAAATGAACAATAAGCAATTTGATAAGTATTAAGTATTTCACTTATACACTAGTTGTTCCTCATTTACAATTTCAAAATTAAATTAATTACAATTTTAGTCATGTATCTATTTACAGCGATTTAAATTTTTAAATTATGACTAGTTTTTATTTTTAATAATTTATTAATGAATACAAAATGTTGTCAGATTCGCCTATGTAATAAATGTTCGATCTCGATTCGAATACTGTTTATAGTGAAATAATAAAGAACTAATAGGCCGTTCTAATAACTATTGCCAATATGAAAATATTGCACTTGATATAAAATAACGACAACATACTTTGCCTACAACATAATAAAAAATCTGTCAAAAAAAGTCACATGTAATAAAACACCTAAATGCTAATAAAATAAAGACTACGAAACAACCTATTTATTTGTGGTTTTTAAACATGATTATATAAAAATATAATTAAAACAAACACTGTGTTTATCAATAAAAGTAAAGTTCCTAAAACAAATAAACTTCGAATTGTTTTCGCCTTGACAAAGCCAAGTCCAATTATGCGAGGACGAAGTATTCAAGGAAAATTTTTAATTAAATTAGTCCAGTTTTTTAAACTAACTTTCAATTTATAATTCTAGAATATTTTATACTAATTGTAATAGGTCGACTGTAACTTTTAAATGACTTTATAAAAATCCTACTTACTAAACTTAATATTTACAGTTAAAGTACACCAATTTTACATCGAAAGCAAGCATACTTTATTAATACAAATGTTCGTGTGTTACAAAACATTCCTAAATTAATACAAATTGAATATCAAACGACCATCACTATTAATTTCTGCATTACTAATGTTTAATTTATATAATTTCAGAGGTGTATCCGAACAATTTATTTCATTTTTTATAATTTACAGTCTCGAATTTTTTACAACATTAATTTTTTGTCTATTTATTTTTTGTAATATAATTTAATGTTTAATCTATAAGACTAGAATGTCTAAAGCATATTTTTTACAATTATTTTTAGTAATAAAAGTTTTACTATTCTAACCACTTCACGTATCATCAAGCGTTATCACAAATGCCATCTGAGCTATCTCAATACACTGCTCAATATAAACCTACTTACCCCCTAAATTTATAACCTATTCATACTTTTGAAGCACAATAATATTTACAGGTCAAAGGTAAAGTCCGATTATGAGCTTGAGAAATTAAACTATTACTGTAATTAAACTTAAAAGTCGTAAAATTAAAATATAAGATTAAACAATTATTATTCTAATTATTTTTTAAATGTTGACCTTAAAACTCATTTCTAAATAATAGACCAATTTTATTAAACGATTGAACGAACCCGAACACGCTCGCGGCTAGCACTGCGATCCTGTCACATGTTTGAAGCACGTGCCTCGGCAAAAATTTGTGTAATCTGAATTCCCTTTGAACCATTTTTTTCCAAAAAAACGTTCAGTTTACTGCTACATTCCACAGTTCCATACAGAAAAGTGTATAATCAATCATTCGCATACGTTCGTCCCATTTATCAATTATTTCGTATGTAGATAAATAATATTGTATTTACAAGACAAAAGTGTCGAAACAAAATGATAATATCGAAGCATACCTTTAGGCGACATTGTGTTCATAAAGAATACTGAAAAAGGGACCTTATAAAATATAAACGGAGATACAAAAATCTACCCAATAACAATGATGATAGAGATTAAAATCAGTAATGTTGTGTAGAGTGGTAATGTCATCGGGGCTGAATCGCCGGCAGCTGCCAGTGCACTTGCGGCCGCTTCCACGCACTGACGGTAAGCGACATGTTCTAAGCATGTTATAGCGCAGAAGTGTTGATGGGCACAAGCTCCATCACACGATTCTGAGCTTTCGTGCCGGACGCGATAGGCTCGTAAATACCTGGTGGAAAAGAAACAGTATGTTAAATTCACCTTTAAAGACTTATAAATTAGGTACCTTTTGTCTCCGTCAGAATTTTCTTCTTTGGAGTCAACAAAATGTTCCCATTGCCTATTCTTTGGTCTTCATATATTTTTTTTTTCATTTTTTATTCCAAAACCGATTCTGTTGCAATGCTGTTTAAGTTAACTAAACGGTTTTATTACAAGTTAAGAAATTAATAGATACATTTTTGACTTACTTGTGAAATATATTGGTCTCATGCGGCGTGCCTATCTGCAGCTTATCAGCCAGGTTGTGCAGAGACATAGCGGACACTTCATGCAGACCGTAGTACTGTGTGAGGTTGTACTCCGCCGTCCATTCTGCTAGATTTCTATTGGCTGCCGCCAGGTCCAAGAAGTATTGGGTGTAGTCTAATACCTAAGGAATTAACATTTTGTGTTGTTATTATTGCTTTATACTAACAAATCGAAAAAATAATAGTGTGATTAACACTAGATTAACATAGATCAATCGCAAAGTTCTGCAATGCAATACTCGGAATGTGCAGTATTTTTACTTTTCAATTTTAATATTCACCAGAATGACAATTCCCGGACACGCGTGTTTTACTTATAGGTATCTGCCCTCCTAGTAGATGACTGGTAGTCGTCACGAACCATGTAGGTATTGGCAGATGTGACCACACATATATTCATAGGTACTATCTGTATTATAAGTTTCAAACAAAAGATTCAAAACATATCGATATTAGTGTAACAATCCCTCGTCGAATGTGTACAACGACTTTACAACTTATAAATAATTTATTACCTTTCCCGTATTCGTATCAAACTTGTAAAGCCTGAGTCCAGGGTTGGATGAATCAGCTGGATCGCGATGTGGACTCACAGACGGAGCCATAAACGTCCAGGATACTGGTCGATCTAAACAATTGAAACATAAGGTATTAAATGTGGGAGACCGTTACATGAAAATAAACTTTAACATTATCTCATTAGGGTACATCACACTCACACTCGCACTCATTTATGACCACGCGCTATGTCGCAAAGCAAGATGGCGGCGAACGTGATAACCAATGTCAATGCGACATTGGCGCAGGGTCGTGAACGTGTGGGAGTGTAGGCATGTGCGTCTAAACCTAATGTTTGAATATTCATTGTTAAATTATAAAATAAAAGACAATAGTCACATTGATAAGTTTGTTTATCAAAAAAAGAAAATAAATTTTAGGTTTTTAATAAACAGTTTTTAGTAATGATAGGTATGACTCGAGTCATAATTATGTTATTAGGTAGTCCCATTTCATTATAATGAGTCTATAATCATCATTAGACATAATTTCAGCTTTTATTTGTAGTCATGATACCTACCTTGTAAATGTATAACCCAATAAAATTGCCTTTTATTAGGGTAGGCTTGACTTGTTTGAAATATTAAAAATGGAAAAAGCTTGCGACATTGCTTCTCATACCAAGTTACTTTGTTAGTTCATAAGAGAGAGAGGAGAGCCATGCTTCGACACGACTAGGCCGGCTTGACCGGAATGATACCACTGCCTCACAGAAAACCGACGAAGTAAAGCAACGCTTGCGTTGTGGTTTGTCGTGTAAGTGAGGTCACCGGAGGCCCAATTACCCCTCTCCCCTTCCCCAATCTCCCCCTAATCCCCCCCAAATGGCCGGTAACGAACTTGCAACGCCTCTGGTGTTCCAGGTATCCACGGGAGACGCCGACTGCTTACCATCAGGTGATCCGTCAAGTCGTTTACAGGCTTTCGCCATAAAAAAATAGTACGCACAACCACTTTAAAAGAAGAGGGTATATTATACCCAACACAATATTAGAAAATGTAACAAAACTGAAATGTAATAAAGCATTTTTACTTCACACCGGATTCAGTAATTACGTTGTGAAAATTTCATGACATCTACCAGACACCATTTCGGGATTTATTGGTTCCCAAAAATGTCATTCTTGTGCCCGATAAATGGTATTACGTTTATATTTTGGAAGTTGGCTTTGAGCAAATATACGAAGTTTATTTTTCGACGAAAGAACCTTTTAATAATGCAACTGATATAATTATAATATTGTTTTACAGTTACTTTAACTTTAATATGTGTACCGTTTGTTTGAGTTCGTGGAATTGAAAATAATAATTTATAAAACACAGACTTGATGAAAGAGTGGGTTCCATAGAACCAGATTATTTCCTTGAATTTTGTTGTAAAGCTTATGAGAAAAGTCTTTTTGTAATATGCAACTTTCCCAGTACACTCGGTCGGGCAAAATATTACTGTTTTTTTTTTGTTATTACATGGGATTCATAACATAAATAGTGAAAAGTGGGTGTAACATTGTACAGTGGCATTAAGTGCCGTAATGCATACCTCTGCCTACCACTTCGGGGATTAAAGGCGTGATTTTATGTTATGATAATTTTCTTAGTATTGTGGAAAGTTGATACACTTCGCTAATATAAATTTGAAACTTGCTTTGAGGAAAGTCATACAACGATTCTTCGTAACTTTAAAAAACAGTCAATAGTTACCAATATTTCAACGTCAATTAAAACACGACATCTATTAAAAAAATCCATAAAATAAATAATAAAACTTAAATTGATATCAACGGAATAAATATGGAGACTTTTATCGACTGCCTTTTGTTCGCGGGAGTACCAGTAGTAATCAGTGTACAGTCGCTGACACTATTTAATGAATGTATGGACTGTTGCTGGCTGTTGGCTGTAGGTAAATGAAATGATAAATGAACACCACATTCACGTTGATGTTCTCGGCTTTTTATACGTCATTTTAATAATGCATTATTAATTATTTTTGTTTTCAATAAAATTCTTTGGCTTTTAGTTTTTTTAGCTGATTGAATTGCCTTAGTAAGAGAGTAGTTACAGTTAAAATTCCTATGACGGCCTTGTCTGACTGACAGGCCGAGTGAGATGGTGTACATCACACATATCAACAGCCTATAATGTCCACTGCTGACCAAAGCCTCTTCTCACAACGAGAAGGTTTGAGCATTAATCACCACGCTTGCTCAATGCAGGTTGGCGATTACAGACTTATAATTAGAAATTATAAGCCCAGGTTTCCTCACGATGTTTTTCCTCACCGTTTGTCAGTCGTATATAACTTAGAAAGAGTCACATTGGTACTTGCTGTTGTAGGTTTTAACTCGTCGAGTACCGTCATTATAGACACAATTATAGAACAATAGGTTGCGGTCACCGGTGACCGCTTGGTGTTTGACAGTTTAAAACCCTCATGCATGGGAAGCAGGCGTCTTAACTCGTTGAGTATCGTCATTATAGACACAATTAAAGAACAATAGGTTGCTGTCACCGGTGTCCTCGCGGTGATTGATAGTTTAAAGCTCCGGGCCACCATGACACTTGAGATGATGTAACATTAATTTAATAACTTATGCAGGTACTTAATGTATTATAATTAAAACAAACTATGGGGTAGTCTTTTAAATAAAAATGAATTTTTAAAATCAGTCCATAAATACTCAGACGACGAATTGTTCATAACAGCGCTTGAATTATTTTCAAAGCAATATTATCATAATTCGACGGATGATAGGCTAATTGATCTAAGCAACATTTTTTTGTGATATTGTTAAATACCTACATCACGACGAAGGATAATTCGCTGATTTCGAATAAGTATGTATTTAACTCAATTTTGCAAAAAAATGTCGCTTACATCAATTTGCCTTTCAACCGTCGTGTGTATAATATCTTTTGTTACATTTTTATCTTCTTTTTTGAGATAATTTTGTCACTTTATTATTGGACGTATTTGATCCATCTTTTTTAACTGTCGTCATCAAATTCGTGTAGGACCACAACGACTGCACGAAACATATCAATTTAAAGTTGTCACATGCGTTATAGTAATATGAACGTTAATAATATGAAGATATAAGAACCACAATACATTATCCGTGACACGTACATAAATTACTCATCTATCCTACGTATAGATATATAAAAGTACGTCTGTGAGGTTGTGCTTACGTCAAATACGCTGACTTAGCCGTGGAATAAGCAGACGTGGAAATAAATAATATTATTTTCCGCTTGTGGGTAAAAAATTTAGTAACTTGATTGAAAAGGCAAAGAAACTTGCAAAAAAATCATAACTAACATAATTTTCTTAACGCTCAACATATTTCTCTTCTCTTTTAATAACGTTGCCGCACACTAAGATTTTCTCCTGTGTCGTTCGTAGGTGCGTTTACAAACATACAAGTTTCACATTCACGTGACAACTAGACCCGGAACAACAATTTGTAGATCATATAAAGAGTTGTTCCGTGCGGGAATCGAACCTGCGGCACGTTGCACGGCAGCCAGTTGTATAGCCATCACACCAACCGTGCAGTCAATGACTGCACAATTGACAATTGTTATAATTTGATGCCGCGCATTGTATAGCGGGTTCTATTCCCGAACGGAGCATTTTTTTGTATGATCCACAAAACGTTGTTCCGGGTCTGAGTATCATGTGTATGTGAAATTGTATATTTACACATACTCTCGACACACGACACTCGAACGTAGTTTTTTTTTTAAATGTAAAAATGAAAACACTAATACCAGGCAGGCAACTATTTAAAATAAAAAAATTAACAGACAATTTTCAAAATTTCTTAGCATATAAAATGATCTATCTCCTTCTTTCTTTTATATATATTTTTTATCTTTTTTTTACCAAAATTTCAATTCTTATATTTACACCAGTAACAAAAAATCGACTGCAAGCAACCCAACTTAGCTAGGAGCAATAAATAACAGAGCGTACCAAGAAATACCTTTAAAAAGTAAATGGTTCTGAGTTGACTTAGAAAATTGAATTATACAAGCACTTGTAAGATGGAAACCACTTTTCCTGTACATACGTGGTTGACACAGTCTGTTTTCTTTTAATTTCCAATTTAAGCGAAATTAAGTTTTACCCTGAAGTTTAATTTGGGTCAGATATTTTTTTTATATGTATGGAAGTATGAAGAAGACTATTTGTTGTACTATTGAAGTTCGAAATTACTTTTGCATTTTGATTTTGTTTAGGTAGTCTAGGGCTGAGGCCCTAATTATAATGGGTAGGCCTTTAGTATGGGACGCCACTTGCGTTGATACTCTGGCTCCATCCCATCTTCCAAACTCAGCGTGTCGAGCCGGTGCTGCCGCTGCTGCTGCCGAGAACCTCAAACAGCGAAAGTATGATAGCCTGATTGGCAATTATGCTTTCGAACCGTTTGGGGTTGAAACTTTAGGGCCGTGGGGCCCAAGTGCACATTTTCTTTACAAAGATATTGTAAGGAGGATGGTTGACACTTCAGGTGATCGAAGGGCTGGCTTCTACCTTGGACAAAGGTTAAGCATTGCCATTCAACGTGGTAATGCTGCCAGTCTTTTGGGCACCCTACCTCACGATAATGATGAGGAAATTTTTTTTTTGGTGCCTTATTATAGCGTATTTATTTATTATTACTTTTTTTAAGGTGTAAATATTTTAGTTCATAGTTATTTATATTTAAGTTGTATATATTTTCATTTCGTTATAGTTAATATTAATTGTATATATAATTTAGTCTATCTAAATATGTCGAAAAATTATAATAACTGAATTGAAAATTATGAGTTACTCACGCAAATATACTGAGAAAAGCTGTACTAGTTTCAATTTATAGAGGGACTCTTCCTTATTTCTTATGAGCCGCGTGAACGGTGTCGGCGTCTCGGCGATGTCGCGCAGCCTACTCTGATCAGTCCGTCAGTAGGCTTTTTTTTTTGAGTGGGGAAAATCTTCTAATGACTTCTCCCGCCCGCGTTAGGGAGTGTCAGACTCTTTTTGACTAAAAACCACCCCGTCCCTACTCCTGCACTCCAAGCCGGAGCCCCGGCAACCCGTTAAGTCTTCCGCGGCTCCGTATCAGCATCAGCCCCAATAGGCCCCTATCTGTAGTGCCGTCAGTAGGCTATTCTGTAGAGGTCTTCTCAGTATACTTACGTAAGCAACTCGTAAATACAAAATATAACTAGAGGTAATAAGCAACGGACCCGTAGAAAATAGTCTTCGTCCTTAATTAACATTAACCAAACTGAAACCTAACAGTCATAAACTTAAGTTTCAAAATCATATAGCAATACACACTCACCGTTGTCATAAATGACTCTGAACGTATCAGCATGCAGATGTCCGAAGAACTGTCCTGCAATAATCTTGGCGTGTCGTCGGACCATGCGGAGGTATTTAGCGTTGGCGTCAGCCGACATATCGTACGGATGTCGTGAGTCCGACCCTGGAGCCGCGTGGCCTACTATGTACACCTGTTGAAAAGAGAAATTAATGGTTATTTTTTTAAATATAATTTTGCCCCACATTAGGTTTATCTCCTGTGTCGTGGGTGCATTTACAAACATACATGTTCACATACACAATGACACCCAGACCCGAAACAACAATTTGTGGATCACACAAAGTGTTGTTCGGGAATCGAACCCGCGACATGTTGCACGGCAGCCGGTTGCCCAGCCACTGCACCAACCGTGCAGTCTTGATTTTTTTTTGAAGTTGGTTTTTCATGATTATTATTGACTTTGTTTTTGCGCCTTTGTTGAACGTTTCGATTGTCAGTACATAACAACTGTTTATAGTTCATGTGCTGACTAATGTGAAATTATTGTTTTCTGTTGGGATATAGAATTTTATGTTTAGTGTTGTTGTCTTTCGTATTATTTTATGTTTTGTTCGTGTGTAATTTTATGCTCTACATAATTGATTTAACTCGTTGAGTACCGTCAGTACAGACACAATTTTAGAACAATAGGTTGCGCAGTTGGCGTCGGCACCTCGTATGCCTCCCAAATGACCGAGACCCTGTGGTCCCGTAAATGATCAAGACACACATAATAATAAAATAAATACCATAACTTAAGAACAACTGCAAAGAACTTAATGTGTCATGTTCGGTTACCTGTATTATGTATGTATTATCTAAGGTTTAGTAAAAAAATGGGGTTGCATCACGGTCAATAATAAAAGTTTAAGTGCATACATATTTGTATATCTTCTCGAGGAATAAAACACATAATGTTAAACACACGTTTACAATCTTACGGTGAAAGTACAAATTAAACATCACTATGTTACAAAATCGATTCTATTCTGTAGTCACAAAAATAAAATCTTAAAAATGTTCCATTACCTTAAGACCTAAATAGTAAAATCTTAACCAATAAAGACGTTGACTGTTCCTAGAACACGAACATTCCGTAATATAAAGTTTTGTGACGTAAATTTTTCTATTACAACGGAATTTATATGCGAACGTAAAATTTTATTTTACCGGCACTTTGAGAATCTTGTGCACCTTCAAGAGAAAGAATTGTAAGACCGGGATCCGACATCTTTGTAGGGATTGAATTTACAAAATACTTTGTTGAAATATTCTTGATTAGTTTGTAAATGCGATATTTTAATAGAGGCTAATTTTATGCAACGGTTCGAGTTAGGTTTGTAATCAAAGTAATCAAATATTTATTGCATCCATAATGTACACATACAGGTGATTAGAAAAATACAAATAGTAACAATTATGGACCCTGTCGGGCACAGCAACATTTCAAATTGGTAGGAGGAGGTGATTGGTAGGTTTGTGACGTTACCAAATCGCTGTCGGTGTTTGCTGGTCATGATTATAAGTCCCTGTCATGCTCTGAAATCAGTCGAGCAACTTCAAAGAGTCAGACACGTTAATAAGTAATATTTTTCAATTATTATGAGTTTAACTTATGTGCCGAATTATAGTTTTAGTCCCATTACAATTAATGACATATCAATGTCCATGTTATCATTTGGATCATATTATGATTATAAATGCATCACAGAAAACGTTTAAAAAGTTTTAGTTCGTATATCATTTAAGAAGTGTTTGTGAGTATATTCATTGAAAACGATAAATAAAATATCTTAATGCTGATTCTTTGTTTAGGCGCATCCTACAATTTTATTCGAAGCTTCGAATCTCTCAGTAACGATTTAAATGTAATTTATAGTAGCACTAGCGACCTGCCCCGGCTTCGCACGGATGCTATATGCATGTATTTTACATATAAGCCTTCCTTAAAAATCACTTTATCTATTAAAAAAACGCGTCAAAATCCGTTTTTTTTTATTTATTTATTTATTTAAGGACAACCAACAAAGCATACACCAAAATACATGAAAGGTTTTTAACATAACATTTAACACTGTATAGTGTAGCCTTAATTAAAGGCTGCCACGACATGCATTATAAAAGAACAGGATGTTACAACAAAAAAAAAAAACAAAAAGTTTTTTCATGGCATAAGCCGGTAAACGAGCAGACGGATAAGCAATTGGCGTCGCCCATGGACACCTGGAACATCAGAGGCGTTACTAGTGCGTTAAAGTACCGTTGCGTAGTTTTATAGATCTAAGCATATATAGGGACAGACAGACGGCGGATAACGACTTTGTTTTATACTATGTAGTGATAGCCGACCCTTTCAATGAAAACAGGAATAATATCAAACACATCACACCTTTTACCACCCATAAACATAAAAATCAACGAGCTCTTTAATTTTAGACGCCAAGTCGATGAATAGTCAACTTTTAGTGGTTATTAAATCTTAAGTACGTATAAAACGCATTTCGCATAGCCCTCTTTATTCATTATCCCTGTTGACTGTCCAGAGACCATTTAGAGTTAGCAATAAAGTAAGCGATTAAGACTAAGCTTCCATAATTAAATGCTTGATGCGTCTCATTTTGTTTCCAAATTAATTCATATTGAAATAGCGTGACGTTCTTGCAATTATTTTTATAAAACAATTTGTTGTTTATGATATTATTATCATTATTATTTTGCTGGGCGGGTTCTTAAGGTGCCTTTGCCCGCCATTTTGTTTTATGTCGGCCATTGTTCTGTTTTGAGCAATGGTTCTTTGTTTTCGTGTTATTGTCGCTGCATCATTGGTTGAGCAATCGCAATTCAGTCGTATATGGCGTGAGAGATCTTGATGCAACTCCCCAGTGCCTTTAGCCAAACGCCACTTTATCGTTTGTCTACAGAGAGAGTACAGTCAAACTGTATGGGGATGACACAGACAAGTGTCAAAATTTACGTCAATTCCGTATAATTTGGTTTTCTTTTCTACATGTAGACAAGCGATAAATGGCATTTGGCTACAGCTGTGGACAAGTGAAGTGACTAGTCAGTGTAAATTGTAGTTAATCAATTATTATTTTTACATATATAACTTCACGCCTGTCCCCATCAAAGACTATGGAACACCAATTACTTCGATTCCTATATGGCGCCGACTTCTAACCTATCAGTGAGTGGGTAACTAGTAGTACAAATAATAGTTGTTTATTGCTTTTTAGTTTTGAGTTTTTATTTGTTATTAGTTTTTATTTTTCTTTCTGGATAAAAAATATAATCGTAGATTTTTACTATACCATACAAATACGTCTCAAATAGAAAAATGGTAATCCATTCAAATCGTGAATCGTTGCCTATTGAACTTAAATATCCCATACAGCCTCCGTTTACTCAGCCCTTAAGCCGAACTATTGACTACGGCTTTGAAAAGCCTCCCTCAAAAAGAGGTAGTGTTGAAACATATACATATATACACAAGTCGTATATACATTTTTGTATACATAAATTGACTTTAAATCCGCGGCTCAGACTGTATTGACAGAATAGGAGGAATAAATTGAATTTTCCGACATAGTCTGACTTCTGACATCAGATTATTCTTATCTAGCGCCCTGTATGTGTTTGGAAAAGCCTTTTTCTCTTTCATGACGTCATAACAATGGATTGCGATAAGGCTCTGGTCTGTAATGAGTGCCATTGGCATTTTATTGATAATTTTGTATAAAGAAGTGATTGTATTGATGGCGAATAAAAATGAAGTACCTACGTAGTTGAAGAGATAGAATAAGAGTGATTGGATCCGCTTTGATCTTGTGTTTTATTGTCTATCAAATAGGTACTTTTCGCTTATGTGAAGTTACTTGTCTGTCTTAGCATCAAGTGTTGAAGTATTCATTTATTCGTCGTGCGTAAGCAATTCGTGATTTAAAACAAACCCAATGAAGTTATTACTAAGCAATGAGCGCCGTATGACGTATTTTATAACTAAAACATTTTAAAATCATTCGTTTGAACTTACAACTTCGTATCTTAGTAGTTAATATTCCAACCACCATTGTTATTAATAAACATAACATCATGCCATATACCGGGCACAATTCCAGACTCCGTGCTACTATTGAGAACTAAATAAAATCCAGAAGCACTTTTCCCGACTCAGGAATCGAAACCAAGATCCTTATCACGACAGTCACACTTGCGACCACTCGGCCAACGAAGCAAACACGACAACGACAACGAGAGTTAGTAATAAAATGGTAAGCAATCACCTACAAAATATAAGTAATATAAAATCCCAAACCTTTTTTTTTCTATATCTAGGTATATGTGTATTTATATCATCTTTTCTTTTTTAATTTTGTATTTTTTTTTCTTTTTTATCTGTGTGCGTGCCAACTGTCAAATAAATGCTTTTCCTTTCTTTTTTTCTTTCTATAGTACTATGTCGAAATCAAACTTCCTTCTGTAAGGACTTTATTAACGTCAAACATTTTTCACCGTTTAAATTATTCTGTCACCTACCACATTCTGAATATATTACCGGAGTTGTATGATTTATATAGAAGGAGAACATTCTTGACTATAATCACGCAAACGACAAAGATTGATGTTTTGTGTTGCAGAAAATGTATTTATGATTCTATGGTGTAGAATCGACTTTTCCTTTACAGTTACTAGACTAACATTTTAGCTGTGGTTTGTCTTCATTTCTTAAGGATAACCTGATGGTGCCTATCCGTTCGGATGTTTAGCCCTTACTGCCCTTGTTTAATAAAATATTAACCGCACGGTTGGCGCAGTAGTTGGGTTACCGGCTGCTGTGCAACGTGTCACGGATTCGACTCTCGCGCCGGCTCTTAAATTGATAGGGGCATTTTTTGAGTAAAATGACCATTGCTAGCCCGGAGTCAGAAAGTTCAGCAGTAGTTTACCCCCGTGTCTCGGAAAGCACGTAAAGCTGAAGTCCTGTGCCTGACCTCTCTCCGGTCGTGTCGGTCTGCCGTCCCATCGTGTTCAGAGAGTGAGGGAACAGAGAGTGCACCTGTGTTAGGGCACACACTTCTGCAATCTTCTGTATAATGGTCTAGTCTAGTTAGACAGACTGACCACCATGATCGAAATCGATCGGGACACTTATTATAATAAACTGAACTATGTTTAAAAAACCGACATAAATCTCTACTTTTTTGAAATCAGTTAATTAATATACTAAAACTTTTTCCATAGTGTAACAAACACTTTTTGAAAACCAAAATCGGTTCAGTCAATCAAATAACATACATACATACATACATACATACATACATACATACATACATACATACATACATACATACATACATACATACATACATACATACATACATACATACATACATACATACATACATACATACATACATACATACATACATACATACATACATACATACATACATACATACATACATACATACATACATACATACAGGTCACACTGTGAATTTCCTTTTTTGGTTTTGAAGGCGAGTTATAAAATAGGTAGGTATTACAAAACAAACCGAAACATAAATCATTTAAAACTACTCACACGAAATATGTATTATCTACACTTACATCATTCGAGAATCAAATCATAGAAAATTATTCGCACATTACCTTTACTGTTAGAACCCTACAATGGTACAACGTGGGCTATTTACGACCATGAATTATACCAAGGCTACAATGATTCATAATTTCTGTTCGAGAAATTCGAATTTCATATGAGTAGCTTTAAATATACATTAATAGCCTCTATTGTTGTACTATTATGACTTAAATTAGCTTTCACGTGTTTCGTGAAAAGATGATCAATATAGCATGCTGATTCTATTCTATTTTAGAAGTTTGGAGAATACAAACTTATTTTTAAAGTAGGTATAATAAAATTGTAGTACTACATCTTTTTAAATATCAAACTACTGAATCTTTTTAGATAGATTCTTATTAAGTAGATATATATTCTCTAGAGAAACCCAGTGTCAGACTGCGCCAGACAATCCACAAACAGAGAGAGATGGCGGGAGATCGTGAGGAAAGCTGTATCGGCCTCCAAGACAAATACGACCGCCTCAACGTGACCACGACCGCTCTGCCAAGAGCGAAACGACAGAGAAGAAGAACTAAGTAGATACTGAATATTTTTTTTAACCAAAACATTGTCTAATTAATCGTTCATAACATAAGCTTTGTCTCGATTTAAAATTAAATAAAAAATGCATAGTATCACTAGAAAAGGATACTTTACCTACTATATCTTAAAGATCCTATTCTGATTTAATAATATCTATCGTGAGACATACTAAATTAACTTTATATCGCGGGTTAATCACGTGAATATAATAGTTTAGAGCTACAAAGGGGCTCTTCTTCATGAGCAGCGTGCGCGGTACCGGCGATGTCGCGCAGCCTACTAGTAGTAGTAAACTAGTGAAGCTTTTCTTAGTATATTCACATGAGTAACCCACGATTTGTAGTTAATCCTATTTAGATCTCAAAAAATCTCTAACGATAAAATAGTACTTACCAAAAATAGTCAAGAAAAAACCCAAAGCACACCACTAAACTCTATTCAACCAAATAACGTTCAAACAAAAAAAAAAAAAATACCGAAAAGCAAAGCAATTTAAGGCAAAGCGATTAGATTAACGATTTTCTAATCTGTAATTTATTATGGCCGGTACCGTGGCCGGTCCGGGCCGGACTTCCTACGGTTCCGGTGCCGTGGCAGCACTATGTAGTTCCACTACTCCTTGTTAAAACCGTGTTTTGAAACAGAGCCGGACAACGCGCATATTTATGAAGGAAGTTCACAAAGTCGTATTCGTAATTTGTTTGCATCGAATCTGACTTGTTATGTCCCGAGTGCTAGATAAAACACTGCTTGAAAATGAATTCAAAGAATATTAATTTAAAGTTGAAATTATGATGCATGGTAGGGTAATGCATGATGTGCATAATAGTGGAACATAGGTGTACGGTTTTTATTATCATGCCTATTTAATAGGGTAGATGCATAATTTTTATTTTAATGTCCGTCCGGTAGATTATTTTAAATCATTATTAGACAGGTATTTTTTATTTTCTTACAGAAACGAATACTTTTGACAATATATTGATTTGAAATGTCGCGTGACGTCATTTCTATGTACATTTTATACGTAGAAATGACGTTTAAGCCCCCACTCCTAAACTTTTATTCGTTTTATTTAAGTATTGTTTTATTATACGACAAAATAAAAAAAATCGTGTCTAACGGATTACGGACTAATTAGATTTTTAATTTTCATACTTTGTCATCATCCCAATTATACCCATAAGGCATGTAACTGTTTTACAAAGTTATTTGATTCGTTTCAAATGTGAGAAATCATATTAACAATGACCAATTTTACTTCAACTTTACTTTTTTACATTTACCTATTTATGTAAAAGAAAGTTGTGTTAGTCACACTATTTATAAGTCAAGAATGGCAAAATTGATTTGGATGTAAATTGGAGGAGACGGAGATAGGATACTTTTTATCTAATACTTTTTTTTATTTGATCAATAATCATGAACGGGAACAAAACAGAATTGTACGTATGAAGTCGCAGGCAGTAGCTAGTGTTTATTAAGTTATTAAAACAAACAATAAATTCTAAATTATTCACAAACAAACTATAAATGTATAAATCTGAATATTTTATTTCTAACAGTTGATATTTCAATAATAACAAAACGAATGCAAACAAAGTGAACAAAATTTACACGTTAAAAAAATATTTTGTTTGTTCAACGTAAATCGGGGACAACAATGGCATTGTGTGCAGAACTAATTTTTTTTTTGGACAAAACTTAGTTGCCTACGATTTTATTTTCGCACTCTATTTTAGGAACGCAATTTGCAGTATATTTAGATGCCACCTCATTTTTACGACCGTTTCCAACAAACGTAGGTATTGCCATTTTGGCTCCCAAAATCTAGTATTGTTGGACATTTGATTATGAACATAAACATAACATCACGCCTTTTATCCCCGAAGGGGTAGGCAGAAGTGCACATTATGCCACTATACAATGTAACACCCACTTTTCACTATTTATGTTATGTGTTCCTTGTAATAGGGGGTGTGCCTATTGCCATATATCGGGCACAATTCCAGACTCCGTGCTACTACTGAATTTTTTAAAAAACCCAATAATACTTTGCCCGACCCGGGAATCGAACCCGAGACCCCTCGCCCGGCAGTCGCACTTGCGACCACTCGGCCAACGAGGCAGTCAGTTATGATGATGTTAAAGTATTCAATCACGAAATTTATCCACCTCTGCCTACCCCCTCGGGGATAAAACGTGTGATGTTATGTAGTTATTCATGCAATATCTACATTCATCGGTCGATTACCACTATAATTACATAAACATAAAAAAAACATTGAATCCCTTACTTTTATGAAAATACTAGCTACTGCCCGCGACTTCGTACGCGCAATCCCGATATTTCCCGTACCCGTTCTTGATTTTCGGTTAAAAGTAAAAAATAAGTATTGGGTAAAAAGTATCCTATGTCCGTCTCCTGGTTCTAAGCTACCTCCCTGCCAAATTTCATCTAAATCGATTGGGGCGTTCTTGAGTTATAAATAGTGTAACTAACACGACTTTCTTTTATATATATATATATAGATAGATAATTTGTGTTTGACCATCATCTGTCGGCGTTTCTCGGCGGCGTACCGTTTACACCAAATGTAATATCATCTTTTGTTTAAACGTTGCCACATTAAGATTTTCTCCTGTGTCGTGGATGCGTTTACAAACATACAAGTTCACATACACAATGACACCCAGACCCGAAACAAAAATTTGTGGATTGAAGTTGTTCCACCACACGAACCCACGACACGTTGCACGGCAGTCTAAATGCAGCCAACCGTGCAGTCTAATTCTTTACAGTATGTAATATATTCATATTACAAGCAGTTATCTCTTGAATACTATGTTAGTAGCAGTTGTCATACGCACGATTTAAACTGTCATAACGACGAGGCTCTTACTCAAAAGTTTGACAACGGGTGTCGCCCAAAATGTAACAGATGCTCCCTAGATGACCTAGATTTTGTTGGAAAACTTAGGAATATAGTGTCTCTGCAGTAGGAAGTTTGAAAGTTGTTCGGTTATATGGTGGAAATAAATGCGTTTGCATTTTGTTATTATATACCTCTATTTAAGGAGACAAATCTTTAAGAACACCTTAAAATGTAAACGAAGAAAATAGATGGTGTATTTATGAATTTTTTTTTGTTATTCACATTCGTCAAAAATTAAATAAACTAAAGAACTCTTAACTCGTTTCTCTTTGGCACGGCGTTTTAGCTTTGGATACAATACAAAAAGGGTTGTAAGCACGCTGTCGGCGCCCGGGCTGCGTGGGAAATGTTGTATAACTCTAATTCATAGATACATATAATACTGTAATCATAAATACAATGAAATCGGTCGAATCAAAATCGATTTTGATATATATACAGTCGTATAGCCGTAGAATATACTACTTTGGCAAAGATTAATTCAAAAACCAAATTTCTACCAGAAGTCATTATTTTACGCGGACAAAGTCGCGGGTAACAACTAGTACATACATAAACCGTAATATTCAAAAAATCACAAGTTAAACTGTCAAACACCAAGTGGTCACCTGTGACCGCAACCTAGTGTTCTATAATTGTGTCTATAATGACGGTATTCAACGAGTTAATTGCTGGATTGGAGCCGTGCCGGTTAACGGTGCCAACTACTTTAACTCAAAAACCGAACTTAACAACTAACCGACTTCATTGGAAATCACAATTTTGCTATGCTTCATGCAATTTTACACCCTCTTATGAACACAATAAGTATGGTTTGTAATAAACTTACCATTTCCTTATTAGCAGTAGCTTTGTCCAGCACTTCATCTAGCCAGTCCCACTGTTTCTTCGCCTGTATGCTGTTCGAATCTCGAACACTGAACAGATTTGTGTTGAGAGCTACTATCCGAAGCTTGCTTTGTTTTTGTTCTATGGTGTAGTATCCACCTGTGGACAAATACGATAAACATTGAGTTACCTGTGACCGCTCTCCACTAACTCCATTATAGACCTTTTTTTTCAATGTTTAGAAACTACTTTTGTATGAACAACTTTTCGGTACAATAATATCAACGGAATAAAACGTTAATATAATTTAAACTAAAATTGAATTAATAATTTAGAGAATGCTTGAGTAATTCTTGCAGAGGCAGATATAGAATAGTGAGTCACATAGATACATATTACGTACTCATTCATATTATATCCTTCGGAATGTACCACCATATTAAACCTTAATTGCTACTAATAATGACTAATATTTAACCTATTCGAGACCTATTAAGAACTTAATTACGCTTCAACAATATCACTTATTAGGGGCAAATTAACCTACAATTTTCCAACCCTATTTGACCCATAAATCTATTTAAAATCTTCATTACATTACAAGTTTCTTATTCTACATGTTCATATCAAATTCACTACGAAATTATTCGAGCATTACTGAATATAAATCGACTCTCGAATCAAGTAGCGAACGAGGATAATGCACAAAGCGGGCTACAAAAACGTCGACTACGCAGTTTCGTTCGCCGAACTTGGTGTTTCTTATTTTCTGTCGACTTCAAGAAACTTTAAAGTTTTATAAAGCGGACTAGCAGTAACTTAGAACTGATGGCAGGAAAGTTAGGCGTTGTAGTTGAAAGACATCAAAACAATCACCATATTTAAAACTCTGCTGCGCTTCCGACGTCGGCGTCGACGCGACGGTGCGCCCAGAATAAAGCATTCTGATTTGCTAAGATTACTCTGCTTGAAGTCTTATATTGTGATTTTACTAGTTTCAAAATTAGTTTTTGAACCTATGGAACCTATTGCCATCTTTGAGTTTCTCTAAAGTATTTTATTACTATCACTACAATTATACTATTAATTTTTACTTTTATTACTATCGAAAAGCAAAAATAACAATGACAACAAAAATTTTGTTGTCATTGTTATTTATTTATTAGAGTGTATTTAATACACTCTAATATAATAAGTCAACTGTTGTCAAATTATATGTAGTTACTTTAAATAATAAAAAAAACGATACATACCAAATTTGAAGGTCTGCAAAGCTTCCAAAGGTAGCCAGTGCATCCATAAATTAGTAAGGCTCTCGGACGGCGCGGGGTCCAAGTGACCCAACACTGGGAACACAAAGTGTGAACTGAATGTTCTACTTAGAAGGTCTGTCATATTTCTTATAGCTTGGATTTTGTCATCTTCGTTGCCCGTGTATCGAGCTGCTATGATGTCACTGGAACAAAATTATTGCCTTAGTATTTCTTGTCTGCTTTATGCCTTGAGAAATTGGGTTTGATTTCAACGTCATACAAAAAACTTTGATTTAAAAATAATATTATAGTACGTAACAGGGATATTTTGGTTTACAAATCTGAATTTGAGGACCAAAATATAATGAAATGAACTTCAACTACAATTACAAGTAGAATGGAAGAATAAACAACGAGTTGACTAGAATCATGTAATAAAAGTAAAATATTCTTACCCCGTCCAAAGCACGAACTCAACATTCTCAGAATGTCGTGTGCGCATGTACCGCGCAGCTGACTCGATCAACTCGAGTGAGCTGTCGCAGGAGTAGTCTCCGAATCGACCCAACGCTCTATGGTGGCCTGAACTCCCTCGTTCGTCTGCTCGGCGACAATCTACAACAAAGAAGTGTTAAACAATTCTTTCATGGTGCTATGGCAGTTTGGTGGTGTGTAGGACTTTCCGTGCTGAGGATATCTTGTTTACGAGAGTCTAAAAGACTCTTCAAGAATTTGGATATCTTCTCAAGAAGGTTTAACAGACGAGCGTTTTACACAAATAAATAATTAAAACTTTCCGAAAAATATTTAGACTTTTTATGATATTAACATTCAGAAAATGTAGTAACTCCTTTCATCAGGTAGATTGTAAGAATGATTGTCGCCTTAGCGACAATGCCTTCCTACGTTGTCACCATACAGCTCTTGTTACGCCATCATCTGAGAACCAATTTCGCTCAATATCTGTAATACTTTGTATATTGACTTTTTTGAATTCACTAAATTTATCTTATTCCATATTGACATAAGATAGAGGAAAATGCCGTATGGAAACCTTGACAAATCGCTTACACGTGCCTGGAGTTTTATTTTACTTTTACCAGGGTTGGCCATCAGCCATTTTTTGACTGCATTTGGCGTCCCATTTCGAAGGTTTCTTGCACATGATTGTGGCATAAATATCGTAGCGTTTTTTCGGAATTGCTTAGATATCGTTATAAAGGGAAAAATATTTTCTTTTGAAGTCCTGTAGAATACAATAAAGGCATCACAATATCATTACTAAAAGACAAATGCACTTCGCGTCCATCTTCCGCTTTGTGTCTCAGCGTCAATCAATTTCCAATCAATCATATCGATACTCATATCTCAAATGCATCGAAACTGCATACAAATACAGGATTCCAGGTATTTGTTTGTACATACGGCGATTGGACGCGCTAATTAAACCGATGGTCTGCATACAAATTACTGGAGTCTGACAAGCAAACCGAAGTTGGCCGTCCAAATTGGAAACAATTCGTTTACTGTGGCCAACCAGGATAGCCTGACCATACACTAAATTTCCTGTGGTTTCAATTGCCTATTTATTTAGATTGTGATAGGGTCTAGTGTAATAATAAGGATGTGTAAATCACTTGAATGGTTCTAAGTTAATGTTGAGTCTGAGTTAGAACCACTGACCAACTGTTGATAGGGTCGAACTAGGACTTTTTTTAAGGGTGCTAGAAATATCGAAAGATTTCTCCCGCCTGGGTGAGGCGGGAGGGAGTGTCAGGCTCTTACTGACTAAAAACCACCCCGTTCCTACTCCTGCTCTTCGATCCGGAGCCCCGAAACCCGTTTAGTTCTCCGCGGCTCTGTATCCGTATCGGAACTAGGTGTATAATGGTACTTGTATTTAAGATATTAAAATCTAAGTTTATTTAAAATTTGAAGACTAATGTGGAGCCACTCTATTGGTTTTGTATCTATCTGTAATCGTTCCTACAATAATTGTTTTTATAAGAATGATTTGATAATATCACGTTACAACAAAAATACAGAGAACATTCGACATTCGTGAGATCAAGTAATTATTTTTACCAACCAAAGAGATTACACAACACTTAGGTCAATTGACTCATCACAGAATCAAGTAAAATAGTTATGCGAAAGTTTGAACCTTAAACTTACGATTAAACCAGTGCGGTTACCCTGAACTACCGTTCGCAGTAAAAGTTAACTGAGGTTAACGTCGTCGTTGAAGTTACTTGGCTGAACTTAGAAATAGTTAACATTTTATACCTACGTCTTCTAGTGTCGCCTTGTGATGTGTAGAGGGGATCATAATGGAAGTCTGTTATGTGCCAGAAATATCCTGTAACAATGAGAAAAAAATCGATTAGTCAGGTATCATAAAGAAATTGTATTTCAATTGGCAGGTCATTAGCGCAGTGCATGGACCGCCAGTAACATTAGATCAGTTACAATGATTCCCAAAAAAGTCTTTGGGCTTGTACACAAAATTGCGATGTGATGTGAACAATTAACGATGCGATGCGATTTCGTGCGACAATGCGTTTCCCTTAAAATTCGATATCGCATCGCAGCAATTCGTATCGTTGCATCAATTTTTTGCGTTGCGTATTCGCATCGCAGATTTCCATGCGAGCCCTTTAGTGTGTCAATCCGTCACGTAAAGTTGTCCTATTTAAAATCCTACTTGCAGAAAGTTAATAATTTTTTGCTCTACTTTTCCTAGGAAGTAGCATAGACCTTGTATAGTAACAAAAAATAATGTTTAACATATTTAACAAAAAATATTGCATTTTCCGATTTTTGAACACCATAAAGGCATGAGATCAGAGCTGACCATCGAAATAAAAAAAATGGTAATGAATAAATTTCCTAATTCAAATTACACAAGAATAATACTAAAAGAATCTACTCAAACACGCAATGTTGCTTCAATTAGGCCTTTAATATAACCAGGAAAAAAGTACTCATGTTTTTTCCCGTACGTCTCGAGAGATCACCAAAAAGAAAATCATGTTGTAGTAATACGTCAGAATTTATCAGCAAACGAGTGAGACGAGCAAAAACATCTGATTAATGGGGGACCGAGTGAACTGATGAACATGTTTCGTATTCAAACGTGTTGCGTGTATGGGAGGCTATTGGTGTTGGGAGCGAATTTATTTTCGAGAGTAAATTGAGCTGAGAATTTGTTGAAATAGGTAGTCTATATTTTAGTAAGTATTAATCCCACCAAAAACATTCTGTAAAAAAACTAGCCAAGTCTCGATGGAGATGCTAGTTTATCTCTAATAAGTAATGAAATATAACAAAGTCTAAGGTTCCTTATTGCGATTTCATTATTATTATAGTTAATCTTGTGTGACTTTGCCGTTGAAGGGTACACAAAGGTACAAAACCAGGTGCTCCATGACACCATTGCACCAATCTGTCGCCAGAATCGCTATCCATTGACGCTGGAAAATTGCTACTGGAGAACGTGGTGTTACCACCAGAATTCTTTATTTCGTCCCATTTGATACGTATTCTATTATATATCCTGTCCCATCTTAAAAATTTTGATTATGTAAATGTTAAAAGAGAACAATGACATAACCCAAATAGCATCCACCGACAAAGTAACTAATTGCTCAGAAACTACTATCTACTATTATAGAACCATGTCAAAGCGACCATAAACTGTAACTTAACCGAACAGCTTCCGAAATGTACACCTTGGTAATGTAACAAAGTTGTAAGTGCCAGTCATCGTAGCCAATAGCCAGCACTTACGAAGTTCATTATAAACTCCCGCTTGTTCGAGTCATGCTTCAAATACAGTATTGGTAGCATATACGAACGTACGTGTTATGTGTTTATAGTCGACTATACTACGGTATATAGGTTATTGACTGCTTTGTTGTTCAAGTGGTCATAAGTGCGAGCAAGAAATATCAGGGATTTTTTTCTTTTGGTTATTCATACTCACTCCAACTTAACTTATTTTTAGCGCATGAATCCAATCCTTCCACCTTGGATGAGGCGAGAGGGAGTATAAAACTCTTACTGACAAAAAACTACCCCGTTCCTGCTTCGAGCTGGAGTCCCGGCAACCTATTAAGTCTTCCGCGAGTCCGGACACAAACAAAATTCTTGACGTACGTTATGGAGTTCGGTCGTGTCTCTGGTTTATGGCAATAGATTACCTATATACATGAAACTCGACCATAACTGGTGAAAAGTGAATTCTTTATAAGAACCTACCCTTTCAAGAATTGAACGACATGACGTTATACAAAGTGTTGTTTTAAAGCCGCGTCATTTTCTAGGAGGTAACACGGCTATCGATTTTGAGTGCGAATCAACAAAAAAAAAATATAGGAAAATATTTTTCTGTAAATTACGGACATTCGTAAGTGCAAACTACACGCGGCCGTCTTGTAACTGGCTTTATAACGCGACTTAACATACACAAACACAAACATGTATTGATATTATTCATAATTCTATAAAACACCAATAAGAAACATTGCTGTCGCTTATTCTGAAATACTGTAGAACTTAAACGATTTATTATAGCCGTATTTTTAATTATTGGCCCGAAACTTTCTCTTACATTGAACCTTTATGACTGACATGCCCCCGAGAAATGTCAGGCTTCAAAACTACACCTTGTATATGCTTTAGACTCCATGTAACAGATATAAAGGTTACATTAAAATAATCGAGTTACTTGGCAAGTTTCTCGAAGTTTCCCTGATCATTTACAGCGCATCTTGATAAAGCTATCACAGTAGTAACAGTTTGTCGAGAACAATTTGCTCGCTTCTCCTTGTGATAATGAGGTTATCAGGTACCGATCGCTTTTTATTCGCACTTTTCTAAGGCTTAATTTTCAATTGCTTTGTATAAAGGAAAGGAGTATTTTAGCAACCATATAATGTTCTTATGTAGATAAATATTGTCAATCAGTTGATGATGCATAGGATTTTTTTTGAATAGCGAAAATCATACAATGACTTCTCCCGCCTTGGTTTAGGCGAGAGGGAGTGTCAGATGATGCATTAAAAATAAGACAACATATATTGATTTTTAACGTGCTAAACCTAACTTTGAAGAGATTAAGATGTTTTATTATAATCTCTTTAAAATAAGCCTCGAAATTGATTATTTCGAAACACTGTATTTGGGTTTTCGGTTACTGTTTGTTTTCACCGTCATCATCAACCTGAAAGCGTCTACTACCAAACAATTGTCTTCTTCAATAAATTATTATGTTTTCGGCTTACTCACGTAATAATTTGACGAGGAACTCGACTAGTTTCAAGCCATGTTAGAGGCTCATATTCATGAGCAGCATTTCGCGACCCGCGACGCGGCGATTGTAGCAGCGCAACAGTCAAATTATTACGCGAGTAAGCCGAAAATATAATAATTTATTTAGTATGTCTCACGACAGTTACAATACAAATTGTCTTCCTCCAAAGGGCCTATTTTTTTTGTTTACATTTTATTATTATACATACTTTGTTTATTTTATTAAATTATATATGTCATGTGCAATGATATAACGATACCTACAAAATAGTTTACAAATTGAGCTATCCATTATATATTTGAATACGAGTAGGTATCAAAACAATAGTATTATGATGACCCATTTGCAGAAGTCTAGGGCATTCGGCCTAGTTTACATTAGCGTTAATTTTAATGTGATTGGGGCACATAAACGTAATTAGAATGAAATCAGTTGTTAAGTCTGCACGGTTGGTGCGGTGGCTGAGCAACCGGCTGCCTTGCAACGTGTCGCGGGTCCGATTCCCGCACGGAACAACACTTTGTGTAATCCACAAATTGTTGTTTCGAGTCTGGGTGTCATTGTGTATGTGGACTTGTATGTTTGTAAATGCATGCACGACACAGGAGAAAATCGAAGTGTGGGGCAGCGTTTTTTTTTAAAAAAAAAAACGATACAAAAACAAACCTTGATGTAAATTATTATTATTTAATGGGATACTACTTTTGTAACACTTTTTTGCCAGCTATTCTTTCTATAACTGAGAATCAAAATCAAAAACGACAATAACCTTTTGCCCGACCTTAGAAAATGAATTTCAAATGTCGTATATAGTAGGACTGTATAAAAAGAATAGTAAATATGTAATGATAGTCTATGCAACTGTTACTTACATTATGTACTATCTAGCTTAGGTACTATTACGAACAACGCATTATATCTATGCACAGGTGCTTTCAAATAATAAAGCAATAAAACAGATCAAAATGTTTACGAAATCTACACACGTACGACTAAAAAAACGTATCCAGCACACAAAACGCAATATTTTTCTTTACATCCGAGCAATGTCCCACGAGACACGAGTTGGCAAATCTCGCTGAATTCAACTCGCGAAATAAATTAGACAAGCGATTTGTACTTCTAGCGGATTAAATTGTCTTCATTTATTAGCCCACCCCAGAGGCAGTGGGTTTCGTTAATTTGTTATATTTTAATGTATTCTGTTTCAAGTTTTCTTTTCTATTTTAATGGTGAAATGTAGTGGCCATTTTTCATTGGTTTAAGCTCGTGGAAACAGATGCTTTGTGCGAAAATGAGTTTGTTTATAGCGTTTTTTTTTTAGTGTGTAATTGTATTGTTTTTTATTTGTTTCGAGATGTATACCTGCTGTTAGTAATTTTTATTCATTGTACTTTATAATTTAAGTTTGACAATCCTGCAGTATCCTGCAGTATATATCATATAACGAGAGGCCTTGCATGAAAATCGAAATCTTTCTACGATCTGGTAAATATTTAATTATATTATTTAATTATACCCAATTGCTACTTACTTACGGTTTTGTACATATTTTAGGAAAGTAAGTATGTGTTTCCAACATCAAACATTGTGGTGCTAACAACGAAGTATTAAAATTTATAAAAACGGTGTCGTGATTTCATTTGGTTAATATCTTACTATTTTACGAAACAATACCGATAGACTGTCGCACAAACAATAAATAATAACATAAGAAACGATAATAGTTTTGGAATCTTTCCAAATATCAACAATATAAATGTTACGTAAGAATCCGTTACTCAATAAAAGTGTTTTTCTGACATGTCATTGTTACTAGTGAGATTTATTTTACGTTCATATTATTTATATTTTTTGGACAAAAATATCCAAAAAATAAGTCATGAAGAGATATAGAGAAAAATAAGTATTACGTATAAGTAATGGGTAGCCTATCTATAGATAACGTTAGGTTGTGGATAAATCAAGACTTGTCTAAGTTAGAACGCTTTGTATGTCCCTTTGGATAATAATAAATTACAAACATTACATTAAGGATTTATAGC